TAAACCATCTGTAGTCATAACATCCAAGCTGCTTAAACCAGCATCTGTTGTTTCAGATTGACACATCCCTTCATTTATAGATCTGATACAAACACATTATGATCTTCTCTCTAGGTTTTTGGTAAACGACTCCCATTTGATCTGAATAGCTGATGCATGAGTGATGACTGATCCTAAAAATTACCCAGGATGAGCAGGGTTTCTGCGGGTCATTAAATTATTATTTTTTAAATTAAGGCCTTAATTGGCATTAAAATTCATTAAATGTGATTATGATGGCATTAAAAATGCTTCAGAAAAAAAAATTGTCAAATATATCAGATTGTTTGCGATGAACTGCTCCTGGTTGATCCTAAAGCCATATGTTTGGAACAGAAGCTCGAGGCACAGACAAAGATAATGAACGATTTGGCTGTGTTTATTTATTTATATATATATATATATATATATATATATTATTTCTAAGAGCATTAAAGAGCATTATATTAGAGTTATTAAGAGCTGTATAAACCCTGATGAACATTTTAAGCCATATAGCTCTAAAAACATCTTCTGAAACAGAAGAAATATCTTGTTCAAGACTTAATGAATATCGACCTGCATGACCCTGAATAAACGGGATGGATAACCTGTCGTTCCCTCTGTGACAGGTGATGACCAAGCGAGAGGATCTAGTGGTTGCTCCTGCTGGAGTGACTCTGAAAGAAGCAAATGAAATCCTGCAGAGGAGCAAGAAAGGTGATTAAGAAAACAATTGTCTGCACAAGTTGCTTCATTTGACTTTAGGCAAATTAGAAATATTCAAGCTCATTGTGCATGTTTGTTTTTTTTTGTCCTCTCTGGTTCCTCCTCTAGGTAAACTTCCCATAGTCAATGAGGAGGGCTCCCTGGTGGCCATCATCGCACGTACAGACTTGAAGAAAAATCGGGACTTTCCTTTGGCCTCCAAAGACTCTAGGAAACAGCTGCTGTGTGGCGCCGCCATCGGTACTCACAACGACGACAAGTACAGACTGGACCTGCTGGTTCAGAGTGGGGTGGACGTGGTCGTACTGGTAAGCGCTCTGACTTACTGTTTACAGAAATAACATACTGGTTTCCTGATGGACTTTTTCTTTTTGTCATTTTGTGTTGTACCTTCATTCATAGCTCATTACTCTACCTGTCCTCCCTTCATCTTACCCTATCTGCTTTATACTGCCTGTTAATTCTTTACTTTTTCCTTGTATCTTGTCATTCCCCCATTCTCCTATTATGTCCCAGAAACTTTTCCTTCCTACCTTTTGTGTCCTAAAATGAATTCATCCTGCCATCTTTACATACCGATATCTCCAATAAACTTACATAGATGATGTGCGTTTCCCTCAACAGGACTCGTCTCAGGGCAACTCCATCTTCCAGATCAACATGATCAAATACATTAAAGAGAAATATCCCAGCTTACAAGTTATTGGAGGCAACGGTAACTACACACAATTTAAATGAACAAGTGTGGCTTAAACTGAAAACACAAATTGCATTCATCTCTTTGCCATTTAATGTTCTGAAATGCTGTTAGATTTGACAAGAAAACCATCAAAAACTTATTAGTGAAAAACCTTGAAGTTCTCGAAATTGTTCAAATAAGTTTTGAGTTCTAACAGTCCTTTGTCGCCCCCTGTCTGTGGCAGTGGTGACTGCAGCTCAGGCCAAGAACCTGATAGATGCAGGCGTGGATGCGCTGAGGGTTGGGATGGGCAGCGGCTCCATCTGCATCACACAGGAAGGTGAGGAAATGACAACCAAACTCAGGAAACACAAACCTGCTCTCCTGTTTTTTTCATGGTTCCGTTTGCTGGAAAGAAGGATAATTAAACGAATTGATCCTACATCCAAGCTGAATGCATTTTTTTTTTAACCCTTTTAATTTTTCTGGAGCAGTTGTCCTAGTTGTTTCTGTTCATAGAGGGCTGAACAGAAGAAAAGCTGCAGCCATTTGGAGATCAGTTGGATTTGAATATTCTCTTGCAGTACTGTACCTTGAGTCACTTTAGAAAAGATCACCAACAGGATTTTGTTCTGTAGAAAATAATCTGCTCTTTGTTTACTTCTGAAATGATGCTGAATTGCAGGGAAACAGTGTCTTTAAACTGGTAGCTGGTGTTATTTTTTCCAAAGTTTTTAATGGTGACGTTCTTTTGTAGTTCATTTCTAATTCATTTAAAAATAGATGAAAAGATTAAGATATTTTTTTGTTTGTGTTCGTTTCTTTACCGTTAGCTGAGATTTCTTTGAACACGACCTGTTTTTTGTTTTTCATCATACTTTTTGGGAGATTTGACTGTGATCTTCTCGTCTTCCTACCTCCTCCTCCGTCCTTCTGTATCTCTCTGCTCCTTCCATCCCTGCTATCATCCATGTGCTATTGTGGGTATTTGTGTCCATGTCCAGCACCCCTCAGTGTACCACCAGCTATAAAGCTCCACAGCCCCAAAACCCCAACCTCTATTACGGGATACTCCAGTAAGTTTCCCCTGCTGACTTGTGCTGGGCCTTGTTGGTTCCACTATTAAGTGCCCCTCGCACCTCACAGCCTTGCTGCACCGATTGGGTAACATCTAGAGATGCACTGAGCAATTGGCTGAAGAGGGACATTGGCAGATCTATTTCCCCCTCACCTGCTTTAGTCAGATGAATGGAAAACAGACTTCAACTATGGGAAGATTTTAAATGACCTATTTTAGCTATTAGGGAATATGTTTAAAATGTGAGACGCTTTAAGAAAAAAACGAATGACAAAGTAAAAAAATACATTTTATTTTAATGTCAGTTGTGATAGGAATACATTATTAAAAGGGAATCCAGTTATTTCTAACTATGAACACAACTTCCAGTTATCAATTTTGGTCTGTGTCAATCTTTTATGTGATGCATACAAAATCAACAATAGACAAATAAATAGAAATACAATCTCAGATAAGGACGGACTGCTGCAGCAAAACACTGCTGTACGTGTCTGCTGGTGTAAAGTCGGGCATACACTGTGCGATATTTTCAATCGTTGTACGCAGCTACATCTCAAACTGTAAGATGAAACCGCAGGGTTTAAAAGGTCACAGCTCACGATGTATGTTCACACGTGTGGTTTCGACGCTCTGTTTGATTTTTTTTTTCTCGACCTCACGATTCCTGATCAGGAGGGGTCGTAAGAGGCTGATCGCACCTCGTTACCCCCTGTACACTACACGACGCACCATCAGGCTGAAAGTTGGCCCGATCAAAAAATTATCGCACCACTGGAGAATCGGGCTGAAAAAAGCAAAAATAATCGTCCAGTGTATGCCCGGCTTAACGCACTACAGTGAAAAATGCAAACCTATATTAATGCATAGTGATAAATGAAGCACATTCTCTCTGATAGTTTGAATTAGTTTTTAAACCTATATTTTCCTTTTTTTCTTTTTTGTGCATGGTCCAGTTTTTATTTTAAATTCAGTTAATGGCAGTATTTTTTAATTCTAGTTTTTATTATTTCATTAGTTGACGATAAAGGGAGTTAGAGATGTAAATGTCATTTTACTGTTTCCTAATATTGGTGAACTTTTTTATCGTGTAATATACTTTCACGCAGCGTATGAAGCAGAACATAAGTGATTGATCCTGAGCGCCTTAAGGCTCCTCTATGGTTACTGTGTAATATATAACAGTTTAACATGAAGAGGAAACCTCCATCTGAGAGATTAGATTCCTTGATGTGCAAAATAAAGGCAGCTGTTTAAAGAAGATGTTTTAGGAGTGATTGATTTATTACAATATAATACTTTTACCCAGAAAAACAAACCAACATATTCCAGTTAGTAAAGAGAAATCAGTTCTGTGGGAAATTGGCCCCAGATTCCCCGATTGGTGCATCTCTGGTGACTGCTTTGCATCTGTAGGTGTAGGCTTGGTTGCAGGTGTTGATGGCTGGGGTTTTGGGGTTTGCTTGCTCCTTGTCTCCTCATTAATCTATTAACCACCCAGAGTGTTTTCATCTGACCTCTGGTTTTCTGGTTTGGTGTTTTCGTGGATGTAGTAGAAGCTAAAAGGTGAGCGGATGCAGCGGCCTTTAAACTCGGCTATAATGGAATCCCTGGTTCTTTAACTGATCGTCCTCACATTGGGTTTTCTGTAGGGAAACTTGTCACTCAGTCATTGCTTCTTGTTTTATGTCTGAGTCTCTAAATCTGTTATTTTATTCCTGATGTTTTTCTAAACAGAACTATTTAAGCAGCAATTCTTGATGATCAATAATGTGAATGCTTATACCAAAGCATAACAAGCATTTCTATCTCTAATAATGATGCTCTGGGCTGTTTCTGTTTATTTTATGGATATTTATTAATTATTTTTTAGGCTTTTTGCTTACTTCTGTTAAACAAACTAGAGTTTGATTAGAAACTCTGAGTAATGTTGTACCTGCTAATATCCCTAAAATCATGTTCCTCTTTCTGATATTGATAAACCGGCTGAAGTTTCCAGTATTTCTCGATTCTATGGGCTTTCTGCATCAAGCCAAACGCTGGCAGATTTGATTTGGGAAATGGTTCAATATTTCTGTGCTGATGTTGCAAGTTTAACTTCCTCATTCTGACATCTAACACGAAGGAAGACACCAGCTCGTGTTTGTCCTGCACTGAATGCATTCCTTTAGTTTTTAATCACTTCCTGTAGTTTTTAATTCTGGACATATTTTGAATTCTCTCCAAACAAATCAGGTTATCTTGGATGAGTTCCTGGTTTTACTTTGGTACAGCTGGAAAAGCTGCTAGACATGAACAGATAATGTGAAAGTTGCAGCTTTAAAACCAGTCATTGACTCCTGCTGCGCCCTTCTCTGTATTCTCAGTACTGGCATGCGGCAGACCTCAGGCCACGGCTGTTTATAAAGTCTCTGAGTACGCCAGGCGTTTCGGCGTACCCGTCATAGCTGATGGTGGGATCCAGACTGTTGGGCACATCGCCAAAGCTCTGGCTCTGGGAGCTTCAACAGGTGAGGCAGACGGTGCATCTAGTCAATCCGGCTCTACTTTGCATGGGAATTTACATGAAGCAGTAGATCTAGAAGATGTAGTTCAGTTTAGATCAGTCGAAATTCCAAATTATGCAACCGGGATGGTTGAAACATTGAATGTTTTAAATAAACTGGCATCAGAAACTGTTTGAAAATAAATATTAATACATTTAGTTTTCCTTTTGGTCTGCAGTAATGATGGGGTCGTTGCTGGCTGCCACCAGCGAAGCTCCTGGTGAATATTTCTTTTCTGATGGGATCCGGCTAAAGAAATACCGCGGCATGGGCTCCCTGGACGCCATGGACAAAAACCTGGGCTCTCAAACCCGATATTTCAGGTATACCAGCCAGATATCCAAAACCGTTCCACTTTCAGTGTATCCTGCTTTAAAAACTTTTTTCCCCCTCCCTTCCTCATTTCATTTTCAGTGGTCTGTCAGACGTCAGTCTTGTGGCAAAGACTGATGAGCCTGCTTTACAAGAGTGGCGCACATTTTATAAAGTGCCCTTTTTAATAGAATTTGGTTCAAACCAGCAACTTATTACAGGGATGAAGTTGGTGCAACATTATTCACAGCAACTTTGTGTAAAAACTGGAGTTTGCTGCAAAAAGTAGTTCTGCTAGGATTTACAATTCACCTCAATACAGTTATGGTTAAATAAAGAACATCCTCTTTCAATTACAGGTCTATACACTTAGTTTTAAGATCTTAACTTTACTAAACTTCTGTAACTTCTATGCCAATATGTGACGAGTGAATTTCTCCGATGTGAGATCAATAAAGCTCATCTAATCTAAACTGTGCGAAAAATAACTAAGTAGTTGCTTCCTTAGAACCAAGACATTACCAGGGATTAGAAGCACCTCAATAAAGGCAGGAGTGTGTTGATCTGCAGCACACACGTTCCCCTTTTGGTAGAAAGAGTCACATGAAGAAACGTTTTTAAAGAAGCAGCTGGTGCTGCCTGTTAGTCTAGGAAGGATGATGAGGACGTCTCATTTTAGAGCTCATTTACTTTTATTCATATCATGCCAGTTAAAAAAATATCATTCTACAAACAATCTAGAATTAACTGATCCCTGCACGTCTGAGCGCTCAGCATACGAGGCAAACGAAGCAGGTTTTGAATAAACATCACTGGTATATCAATAGTAGGACAGTTCTGACCCAGCAGAACTCGCCTAACTTGATTTTTCCATCTTTCTTTACAGTGAAAGTGACAAGATTAAAGTTGCTCAAGGCGTCTCTGGAGCCGTGCAGGATAAAGGCTCCATCCACAAGTTCGTCCCCTACCTGCTGGCTGGTATTCAGCACTCCTGTCAAGACATCGGGGCCAAAAGCCTCACCCAGCTCAGGTACAGATACCCCAACCTTAAAATACAGCGTTACGAAAGGTGACGAGCTGAGACAAAGATGGAGGCTCGGCGTTCATGGAGTTTCTGTTGAACCGCCAACATCTTGTAAACCAGTTGCTTTTTGTCCTTTCAGAGCGCTGATGTACTGTGGAGATCTGAAATTTGAAAAGAGAACCACATCAGCTCAGATGGAGGGTGGAGTCCACAGTCTACACAGGTACATAAACTCAGAACCCAGACTGGTGTTTTCCACTCTGCTTTCAACATGGATTTACTTGGTTTCATATTCCATTGTCTTGATTATCTGTTAGTTTCATGTCTTTACCACAATCACACAAGCCTCCAGTTAGACTTCCTCTTAGTGCCTCTGTTGTGGAGCTCCAGCAGGTCGTGTGATCTCTCTTTCCGTCTTTTTGTCTTTCCCACAGTTACGAAAAACGACTCTTTTGAGAAAAGGGGAGCATTTGGTGGCGGATCAGAGCAGCAGATGACACTACACAACCCGCAAGAACTGCTTAGGATCCTATTGTCCATGGAGCGGACTTCGGATTCAGATCAGACTAAAAAAAAATCTGTTATCTTCCAGAGATCCACCCGTCTTCCTTCCAGTGTTATCTATGCATAGAGTTTGGTGGAGGTGTGTATGTGTGAAACTGAGGAGGTTGAGAAATGAGCATTTATCAATCAGTGCATGTATGATTGAGTTGAATAAGGGAAGTTCGCTCTTGTAATAAAATGTCTCCATGTTTGTCCATTTTAAAGCAAAAAAAGAAACTAATTAAAGGCCTGTGTTTTTACACAATTGTTTGGAGTGTTTTAAAAATACTTTGTGCCTAAACAGGTTTTTCCATCATTTACAGTAAATAATATACTGGTCAGTCTATAGTGTCAAAGCAAAATGCTTCTAAGAACATGATAAACCTGAGCCGTTTCTAAGGGTGAAAGGGCAGTTTATCCGCAGGTTAGGGCTGCGAGGATCACTTTACCTCGGATCCCCTGAAGGACTTGCTGTAGCTTGCAGTGGGAGGCAGAAAGTGCAGCTGGGGGGGCAGGTAGGGAACTGATAGGCTGGGGGGAAGAGACACTAAAACTCCTTAGATAAAAGGTAAAAACCAGACAAGGAATAGCAAGTTAAATTTATGAGTAACTTTTTTTAGTTTTGCTGCACTATGCTTTTACTTCATGATGTATTGCTACACTAAACACTGGAAATAAATTTAAATGCATGAAAAACAAGCTTTTTTTTGTTTTAAACAAAACATATTCCAGAGCGAAACAGTTGCTCAAATGATTATTCTTAATTTTAAGCTTACCATCTACCTGCTGGGTCTCCTTGGACTGTTGGAGGTGAAGTTAATATACAGTAAACAGGATATTGTCACTGGAGGTACTTTATTTTCATAAAAATCTATGAAAAGTCTTCAGCTTGACTATAAGTCTTTCAAAGTAGCAAACTTTGCACAGAAATGTATATTTTAGTCTTATTACATTATAAATCAGATGTTATGCGTTACTCATCCTCGTCGCCTTTTTAACCTACCTAGGTGGAAATTATACTTTTTGGGTACTTAACACACAACTGTTGAAAATGGTGGGAGGTTAAAGATATTCCACGTAGGGAAGAAACGTATTAAATATTGACGCTGTTATGCATTTAAAATAAGAAATTGCATTAATTTACACATGGTACTTAAATCTATCTAAAAAGTGTTGGATTCAGGTTTTCCTTAAAAAAAAAAAAAAAAAAAAAACTTATTAGAGGAAATCTGGAGGGATTTTGATTCCACACAATCTACGGGGAGTGAACCAACGGTAGATGCACATTGCTGCAAAAATATTGGCATTTATTAGTATTTAGTTACCTTCATACTATATGTATATATATATATATATATATATATTTTGTTTGTTTTTTACCATGTCCAGATAAAACAGGACTATACCATGCTGGTTTGTGTTTACTCACAGAAAGGTAACACTAACTATCCTGGATATGCAATCCTCACCATGTGGAATGGTGGTGGCAGCATTATGCTGTGGGGGTGCCTTTCTCCAGCAGAGACAGTGAAGCTGGTCAGAAGTAGGATATCTGGACCTAAATACAGGATATTTCTAGAAGAAAACCTGCTAGGTGCTACAGATTGGGGTAAAGGAACCCTGATTATTCAACCAGAGCTGTGTTTTATTGCGCTGGCCCATTTTCAGACCAGAACTAAAAAAAATCAGAACAAGTGGAAAGCTCTAATGCACTAAAATGTGGTTTCAAAAACTATGGCTTTCTGTTGGCTGATTTAAAACTAACCAGAACAGATTTTTTTATTAATAATGAGAAACTTTTCTTCCCTTCCCTTTATGCTCACTTCCTGATTATTTGCCACTTTGTGTTGGTCTTTCATAAAAAAAAAGTAAAGTGAATGACATCTAGATGGATCCATTTTTTTTTTATAGTTGTGCTTTGAAATATAAAAGTCTTATTTGTTTAAAAACCTGTTTCTTTGGAGCTAAACTAAGCTTTCAGTCCAAAGTGCAGCATTAATGAATGAAACAAAGAGCGAGCAAACAGCCCATCTCCTCCCATCTCACCTTCATCTTCCTCCTTGAGGTCTCCAGAGAGGATCAGGTCCTCCTCGGAATCCTCCGGACTTTCCAGGCTGAAACCCAGACGGACCTGATGGGAGTTGTCCCGTCATGCTCTGTTGGTCACACCTGTCTCTCATCATCCATCACTAGGCGCTCAAATCGTTTCTAATTAACAGGGAGGAAGAATAGCCGACCTCTCAGGATTATCTGGGCAGACGGGAGCGTTTCCCCAGAGAAATAAAACCGTTTACCACAGCCGGACGCCAGATGTAACGATAGTCATCTGTCCTTACCGTCACAACCACTTTTAAATGGATTTATTATTGCTATCTATAAGAAAATCTAAAAAAAACTGTAGATTATAAAAGGTGTTCACTAATTTTTCTATCCAAATAACTTTTCTTTGCAGTTAAATTAAATACACCAAAACCATCTTTTTTGCAGAATTTACAAATCTTAGTTTCTAATATGAGTCAATCTGAGGAGAACAGACGCTTTATTGGACATCAGCTTATCTATTCGTCCTTTTACAACCAAAACCAGATAACTGTGCCTCAAAGATTAAAAGGAACTGAACATATTTTAAAAGGAAAGTTTGATACCAGTAAGGTTAAAAAAAAACTAAACTAAAAAAAGAAAAGTGTAATAACAGCAAGAAGCAGACAGTCACAGCTGAGCTGATTTTTACAATCGAAATTTAACTACATAACAAATCTGATTACTGAGCAAACCATTTGGATTAATTCTGGAGATTCTAATCCCTAAAACCTCTGAGTCTAGAATCTGGGATGGATGAAGAGCATCTGAACCCACCTGGGTTTTGACTGGACTATTAATTCCAACTTATACCCTTACCCTAACCCAGCCTCTCTGTCCTTAAAGGAAATCATTCCCACAGCATGACACCGTCCCCACTATGTTTCACCACAGACTGTGTGGGGCCTGATGTGCACTGTGGGCTTCTAATTAAAGGCCTGTCCTCGGTAGGTTTTCAGTTGTGCCATCTTTAGACAGTTTAAGGTGGTGTTTTATGTTAAACGTTAATAATGATACATTCATAATGCCATTTTTTCTGCAATGAACCCCATGAAACATCCATGGCCTTCAAAGAAAGAGGCTGGATTGGTAGCTATGATAAATCACACTGAGGTGAAGTTTATGTACGGTAGGAATTTAGAAGACAGTTGTTTGCACTGGATTATATTTAGGGGTATCCGAGTGTAGAAGTACTTAGGTGCATAGCTCGTTTAGAGACCTTTTTCATGATATGCTAATTTTGTGAGATATAGGAATTTTGGGTTTTCATGAGCTGTATGCCAAAATCATCCGTATTAAGACAATAAAAGACCTGAAATATTTCAGTTAGTGTGCAATGAATCTAAAATATATGAATGTTCCAGTTTTATTATTATATTATGGAAAATAATGAACTTTATCACAATATGCTAATATTTTGAGAAGGACCTATACATGCCGCACTCTTCTTCCTCTCTGTCTTCATTCCCTTTTATAATCCAGTAACTTTTTAAAGTCATCTACAGTATAAAATCCAAGTGCAGTTCAGTGAAGTCTGTGATTTGACATGACAATAAGAAAAAGTTTAAGCAGGTTGAACATCATGTCAGGTACAGCATCGGAACGGGACCAGTTCAAGTTCAAAACACATAATTATATGAAAACATGAATGACTGTTTACTAATTTCTAACACTATTATCTAGAAATAAAAGGCTTAAAAAAAAGTAAAATACATCCTTCCTGCAAAAAAATAAAAATAAATAAAGCACATTATATTAAGCTTCTTTATAAAAAACAAAACAAAACAATAGATATTATGTTAAAAAAACAAAACAGAGCAAAAACTGCCCTCAGGCAAAAAAAAAAAAAAAAGAGGAGGCAGGGAGGTAGTGGACAAAGGAAGGAAAGGAGGAGTTTAATCGGCTCTGGAGAAGTGAAAGTGAAATGAATCTCTAGAGTATTTAAAGAGGAAGTTTGGACTAACAGAGCTGTTGGCAGGCAGGACAGCAGAGGACGACCTGCTGTTCTCAGACGATGGTGAGTTGATCAACATTTCCTATTCTTCACACATCCACTGCTTATTTGGACAGATAGTCTGTCTATAAGGCTGCTGCCTTTGTGTTTTCACTTTGATTTCATTCACTTGGTTGTCTAATGAAGTCTGTTCTCTTTTCTCATTGTATTGGTCAATCTTCTCAAATCTTACTTCACTTTTCGAACATTAGCTCAGTCTTCTTGCTTTAAGTGCAGGTTAGGATAATCGTTTGACAGCCACAAAGTGAAAATGTTTTAGGTTTGCTGCACAGTTGTCAAACTGAAAGTATCTTAGTGTTGTTCTGTTGTGTATATTTAGGTCTTTTTCTGTTAGTTTTTCACTTCCTTTAAGCTATTAAAGCTTTTAGAAACTTAAACCTATTTAAGTCAGACTGAAACAGATTTTTTGGGTTTAAATCTCCACCTTAAAGGGTTTTTGTTCAGCTAATCTCGTTTATCAACCAATCAGCTCTTCCTTGTCAGACTGACCTCTTGTCCAACCTCTTCCCCTGCTTTCTTTTTTTTTTCATTTGTCTTAGAAAAGATAATGCACAACAGGTTTTTCAAGATAGAGCTCATAATAACAGCAGAGTAATACCGTAAGAGATAAGCCGGCACTCCATTGTGTCGCATGAAATTAAACAGAAAACAAGAACTTCCCTGCTGGATTTCCAGACAGTTTTTAAGTATGCAGGTTTTTTTTTTTTCTTTCACCTGAGAGATAAAAATTGTTTTTCATTCTTTGACTCCTGTCAGGCTGCGACAGATGTATCAGAGGAGCCGCTCCTTTGCGTGCAGAACGCACACTTCCAGGAGGAGTCACTGCTTTGGTATTTTCTTTAGATCGATCTAATCTTTTGGCTAAAATGCAGGTCGTGTCTTGGAAATAAAAATGGGAACTTGTCCAAACCACAAGAATCTGAAAGATATACGAACATTTTTTGCAAAAAAGACAAAGATATTTGCCTTTTTTTATCAGAAAGAAAATGAGACCATATTGCAGCAGGTTTACAAGAAGGAATTTAGATCTTCAGTCCAAAGGAATCCACTCTGGTTAAATTTTAACATGTTATTGAAATCTTTCATTTTAAGTTGAAATATTGTGATTTGAGTGATTCTGTGAAATAAAAGACAGCTCTGTAATCTAATATACACAGAAAATGAATCTTCAGCAAAAAATAAAAAACAACTTCAAGGTGCCAATAAAAAGTTCTCAAAAATCTAACTTTACAGCAGGTAAAAAAACTTTATGATGCAGCAAGAAGTTCAGCTCAAATTACTGTAATAAGACGATACGACTCTTTCCAGATCACGTGCATTGTGAGTCACATCTGCAGAGAAACAGCATTAAACCGGTCAGCGGAAGTTACTTTAGCTTTACTGCCACAACTTTTATTTCACAGGGTGGACAGAAGAGTCGGTTCCTATTTTCACACCAGTTTCTACACATTTAAAGAAGAAAATGTTTTTTCCCTCCTGTTTATAACTCTGTTTTGTCTTTTTAGCTGTGCTGACCAGAGTCCATCCTGAAAACTTATTTTTTAATTTTTTTGTGGGTGGGATTGTAACGGAACCCATAATGCAGCTGTGATTCTGAGGCCCAGCTGGTTATGGGGTCCGTTTCCATCCCACAGAGCACAATACACCCCGAGCTGAGACATCTATGAGGAGCGCTTCTACAGCAAGAGGAAGAGGGCGTAAAGTCACATGCTTTATTGCAAATAGTTATTGTTTAATAGTGAATAAAAAAAGAATGTGGGACACTGAACAATATCCAAACATCAGGTGTAACCAGGTGCTTGTTGACAGAGCAAGACATTCAGAGAAACCAAAGTCCATCAGCTGCTCCGTTTCATTTAAGGGCCGAGCCATTAAAGTGAAACTAAAAGCAGTCCGGGATGCTTGCAGATAAAATGGTTTCATGGTCCATCGATGGGGTTGTTCCTCAATGACACGTTTTCTCCCGGATTGCTGGTAACACAGATTGCAACCGGGAATTTCGTGTCAGCCAAGAATGACACCTGCCTCAGCGTTTGGAGACGGCCGGCGCCTCTACAGAATGAGGCCTTTTCCTTATATACTTTGAGTTTCTAATAGAGCAGTGAAAGTTTCTATGTTTAGCTTTACATTAAATGCTAAACCACGGAGGAGTTTCTCTGCCTGTAAATATTATACTGACTTTAACAGTAATAAATTTATTTCAACACAAAAACAGCTGAGAGGTTTGCTTCATTTTTCATCCTGAATTCAATTTCATAACGTTTGGATAAAAAGTTTAAATTCTGTGAAACTTCAAACCTATGGAGGAGGATGGGTTTGCAGTGGGTTATTTTTAACAGCTTGTTATTGAGAGAGTGTTTTCTGTAGCGTTCTGTTTGTTTGCAGAAAGAGCAGATCATGATGGAGCAAAGTGACGCTCTGTCGTTCTGAAAGCAGCTCTTTTCAGACACCAGAGCAGCGGCTGCTGATTTCATTAATTTTTCATATTCCTCTATTCATCCTGATCTGCCATCTTGGAGCTTTTGAAGAGACGCTGAACAGCAGCCATAACTGCAGAAGGCCTGAAGAGAAATTTCTATGATAAAACTTGGATCTATTTTCATTGAGAACTTTTTTTTAATTTTTTTTTATATCCTTTAGTGTTTAAAAGCAAGAGTCAAAGTTTATTTACCACAGTACTTATTTTATTTATTTGAAATCACAGTTTAAATAGGGATTATCACCTAAATATACACCGAGCATAGTTTAAATCTAAAAGTAGCGGATTTGAGAAACAAAGCATTATCATTACGGCTTTATTTAAATTAATCCATTCGAAAATGCAAAGCCTGAGTTTTCTCCATGCAAATTTTGATGGATGATTCATTTTATATCTAATGATTGTTTAATTTCAGTCTAAGAGTGGGAACTCTAAAACCCTGATGCAGCTTTCATGAGACACATTTAAACAAATATATTGATGAACTTATAAGCAACATAGCTCTGTTCTAGATATACTTTTCTACATGCATCTAACAAGAAATTTAGAGCAACTTTGCTTAAAAAAAAAAAACGACCTCTTAATGTATTTTTTCTAAACTGTGGGGGATGCATTCATGGGAACAACCATGGAATACTCCCCCCCACCCCCCAAGTTTGTGGCTCTATTATAAAGATTTTTGGTTAAAAAAAATAAATAAATAAAAATATCCTGTTAAAATTTACTTAATTCATTTAACCATATTAATCCTGATTAATATAATTAACACATTTTAAAACTTGTTTACTGGAGCGTGTGGATTTTACACCCTGGTGCTTTAAATAATCATCACAGTATGTTACAAGGCCGCAGCCAAAGGAGCCGGGTATTCATAGAGAAGCCTATATACCTACTGTACTTTATCCAATCAAAATTAAGTTAAGTGGAAGGAGAAACTGCTGTACAAATGGGAGCAAAGAAAGCATTGTGAAACAAAAAGGCTGTTTTCATGATAGAGGAGGATTTAATTATTCATGCTTTAAAAAGCAACAATACAGGCGTATCAATATCATGGGCTACAATTGCCTTACTCCTTATGGCACGCAACCCCGAACGGACCTCACAAGAAGTGCCTTTTCTCACAGAAGAAGACATAAGTGTGGATCTTGCTCAGCTTTCTAAAGTGCTTCTCGTACAGCCACAGAATCATAGTTGTTTTCTGTCCTGTAGAAAGATGCTAAATTCAAATATCCTGGAGAACTTATCGCCTGCTCCCGCTGGGGTTTAACCAGGAAACACAACTAACCTAAACCCCACAGAGGATATCAAAAGTAAGGAGAGCTAACAATCTAAACATGCTAAAGACTGCTACTAAAACAACTTTCTTTAAATCAGCACAGCAGCAGGCTGATAGTCTTTATATTGGACTGTATTGATTCACTAATTAAAGAATTAAGTCCTGGGCAATTACTGGGTGCGTATACTGTAAAGTACATGATCCCACATTTCAGTAGCACGCAATGACCACTTCTTTTTTTGAGTGGTAAGTAATTAAAGGAATTGTGAAGGATTTTTTAAAAGACCCGCCCTCTCCACTTAAAAAAAATGTGTGATTAAGAGCATGCATGAACCCATTTCTCCTCATGAACGCCCTTTTATTTACATACGGAAATAAAAGATTTTCCTCTATACCGGTACCTTTAAACCCTCTGAAAAATTCCTTTTGTTTTTATTGGATGACATTCATAATTGTCTAAATTACCATAAATACCGGAAAAATATCATAACCACTGAAAGATTTTAAGTAAATCTGTCTGTTTAACGGTACTGCATCTCCTTTATAAAAATTGAAGTTTTATAACTTGCATTATAACTTTCTACTTCCATAAGATAAAATGATGTTTAATTTAAATTCTGCTGTTACATTACAGAGTTATTGCTGGGTTGCAATACAAATTTCAAGAATCTCAAGCAATCCCATCTAAAACTTTACCAGTTTCAAAAACATTTGTAATCTGTTTCCTGGTTTACAGGAGTGAGTAGTTATACAACATATTGAAACTGATATTATATTCACATATAACAGCAAATTAATAACGTAATGGCAGTTAATGTGGGCTGTAAGGATAGTGGTAAATCTGATTTTTAAAACTGACCTTATCAGGGCTGCCAACTTTTCACCAAACCTTGGGGTGAGATTTTGAAATAGTTTGGACAGGAAACCCTGTCAGGGTTAGATGAGGATGGGTGCAGCTATAGGTTAGAGGTTTTCAGAGGATTTAACCAGGGGTGTAAATCACACCCATCGAGGCGATTTGATTCAGTATCAATTTCCTGACCCAACGATTCGATTATTTTCGATACTCAAGAATTCTCCATGATACAATTCGATTGTTTTTTTACCTTACAGGCAAGACAAAGTTTCAAATTTTTAAATACATCAATGAAAGCTATAATATCATTATGCATTTTATTTCAGAAACAACAACAAATAACAGAAGTAGCAAAGTTGTTCCAGGAGCAAATGGATAAAAAGATGAAACCATGAATCGATAATCGTGTCGATGCATCGGAGCGCCGCCTGTTGGATCGACGCATCGATACAAAACGAATATTATTTACAGCTCTAGGTTTAACTGAAACAAAGGGGCAAATTTTGCAATTTTTATAGCACAGCAAATGTTACTGAGTAACAATAAGTGATATGTAGTTATGTGGAAAACTTTTCTCACAATATAAATTATTTTCTACATTCTGTGTTTTTTTAGAGAATTGAAGTAAAGCGGAATGGGCCCTACTAAAATACTTGTATCTTAATTATACTTTTTACTAAGAATTTCACAACTGTGTTTATTAATTATTCTATGCAGTTCAAATAAATTAAACAATATGGAACTAATAAGCTATTACTGGATTACTGGCACTGATACAGATTTTGATCACCGTGGTATTTTATACATAAATAAGTGGAACAGAGTTGTGTTTTAATGTCTAATTTTTTAGTGTGAGAAATTGGGAATATGGAGTGAAAGTGTGTGGAAACATTGAGATGTGTGAGTCTCACTCCCAATGGGTGAGAGTTAACAGTCCTGTCATACAGTGCTATATCCAAATAATATACCAAACCTTACCTTAAAGTTGAAAGGTTTTCAAAAATCTACCAAATATTTTTTGTTCATCCAAGCAGCATTGGAATCCAGAAAAATACAAAACAAACTACGAGTCAATTTAACTCTTTAGTTGTGTTGTAAATCACTAAGATTAAGAGAAAGAGGTGAATCTTTTCATAATATTATCAGCGTTGGCAACAGCAGAGACGGTAATATCTACAAATATTTATATGGTTGCGTATTATAACAATTAAAACAGATTATAAACACAAGCAATTTATTTTTATCCAATGCTATGTCAAACATTAAATACCGTACACTAGCTTAGCAATATGTCCTTCAATCCACTAGATGGCGCCAAACCGGTACAACCAAAATATGCATCTCGGGTAGAAACAGAATTTTTACAGAGTTCCGCTGACAGTAAACAACCAATGTTGTTCCCCCCTGCACAGCCAGTATCTGACATCGACCAGCAGCTACCGGACCAGAACAGCTCACATATTCGCTGCTGCTTCACCGGCTCAGCAAACACTTCAGCAGTTCCGAAACGGTTATTAAAAGAGACTGAATGAGTAGATAGCCAGCTCAGCTCACCTGTCAGCGCTGCGGTGATGATGGAGGACATCGAGGAGCTCTCGCCACTGCGGATCACCTCCACAGTGCGAGCCCTCAGTTCTGCACTGCGAGGGAAGCGCGAACACGTCCACGGCCCAAGCAATGGAAAGGGAGACAGGTTGTGTCCCGAACCGGAGAAGCTCTGGTTCAAGGAGAGCAGCGCCAAAAACCTGCGGAACAGGGACTTCTTGTCGCCGAGCACGATGCTAAACACGCTGTATGCTGACGGACAGGTTTGTCAATCGTCTTACATTCATTCGGATAAAAATATTTTTAATTGTCATTTAATAAAAATATAGTACCCATTACAATAAATCGCCTGTTGCACAGACAGACTGAAAAAAAAATCTAACTAAATTCGGGACCCTAACTTCACGCTCTGACGTCACATTAATTAACACGTAAATAGCTCCTACGCCAAAACTCCTCAATTTATTCCTCCGCTGAGGAACATAGTTCCTCTGTTCATCAATCGATGCTGACCTCTATAGGTGTTCGCCTGTTTAAAAGTCAACCAATTAGACAACGGATGGAACTATCTCCCTTTAAAAAGTAGGCATAAAATTATCCATGCTTTCAGATAGAGCAGAAACTGGAACAGTTCCAGTATTGATTTAAATATATCGATATGAAGCCGTTGATGTCCATCCATTGTGTTCAGGCAGACATGGGCAGCCTGCAGCTGGGATTATTTACCCCTGAGTGGCAAATCTAATGTGGGTCAGCTGGCTGTGCAGAAATGCAGCCTCCATTTCAGAACACAGACAGTGGTCATATGAGGCAGCCTTTATTTCCTCACCCCTTTCAACTATTTATTATTTAAGATTTTTACCTTAGAAGAAACTTTAATATTATTTTTTTAATCTGTTGGAGTAGTTGGAACAGACATGAGCCAAGCAGCGAGAAGCAGGTTTCTGAAACTCCCACTTAGGTGCTGCAAAAAACCCCTTGGCATAGGGGTTTTTTGCAGCCTGTTTCCTCTGAATATATGGGGCATGGACAAGCATTACTATGCCCCTTCCCCACCTGTTGCTGAATGCTAAAAAAAAAAAAGAAAAAAAGCTCTATGGTTTGGTGTATCAAAAATAGATGACTGAATACAATACATTAAATTTACAAGTACTTGTAAATTTTATGTTTTTATTCTATATTTCTGTAAAAACTTTCTGCCTAAGTCTGTTTCTTATGAGCAGAAAATACAATAAATGTGATGATATAATAACTGGGACTTTACGGATTCTACTGTTATTGCAGCAGCCAGAATGATTCCTGCTTTTCGCTGCAAAAAAGAAATGTAGATATTAGTGTACAATTCTGCAGTCTTAGCTCTTTGTTTGAATGTACTAAAATATTGGCTTGTTTATTTAACATTGTCATTAAAATGGAGACAAAAGCATATTGCAGTCACTTAGAAAAAGGAAACTGGTCTTTTTGTCTGAATTAAAGCCATAATTTAATCAAATGAATAAACAAAATGTTTCTGTTTTCCTGAATTAACAAGGTAATTTTTTACAAACATCAATCAAAATGCTCTGTTTTTATGAATTTATGAGATAATTCTGCTGTGATTTCATAGTGGATGTTCATTTACTTTCCTTTAAAGAAGCTTATCTTTGTATCTTTGTTGAGTTTAATTCATTTTTACTTTCCCTTTTGGGATCAAGATACCTGTAATTCTCTTGTCTCTTAGTTATTTAGATGTGATCAATATTAGTTTGTCGCCCTTTCAAGGACAGCTGCGTGTTGGCCACTAAGTCACAGTTTTTTCTCATTAATCTCATTAATCAGAGAAACAGGGCCTTATATGTATAGTTTTTATAAAATTATCCCGTTAATTCTCAAAAACACTGCTTTTTAATGTATTTTTTTATTAAAAATATCTCATTCATGCAGTAAAACAGGGCTTTCTTATATATATTATTTTATAAAAATGTCTCCTTAATTCAGAAAAACAGGATCTTTTATTTATTTTGTATAAAAACTATCCTGTTAATTCAGCAAAACTAAACATTTTTATAAATTTGTTTATGTTACTTAATATTGTTAATTTAGAGAGAAAAAAGAGTTTTTATTTATATTTACAAACTTATCACATTAATTCAGAAAAAAAATTATGAGTTTCTCTTTTTCAGTCGAATGCAACATGCAACAAAATGCACTATATTAAGTCTTAGCTCACTCTGGTTTTGGGGGACATCAGTATTTGTGCAATGAAGACGGTTAAACTAATGTAGAAAACATTTCTAATTAAAGAAAAGAAACATTGGGATTACTGAAAATGTTTTATTTGTGTCTCCATTAGGTTCCTCCAGCTGTGATGGCCAGAGTCCTGTCGCTCCGTGGCAGTGGGGTTCTCCCTGTGGCAGGTGGGGAGGTGATGGGTGAGGGCCTGAGGCTGCGAGTGGACCGGGTCGCAGCCTTCAGGTCTGTCCTTGCAGGGGGAATCAGCGAGTATCTGAAGCCCTTGAATCAGAGGAAGGGATGCGTGGTGCTTAACTGTCCCGCGCTGCACCCTAAACCCAACACACCCACTCCGGACACTCTGAGTCTGGGCCAGCTGAGAACGGTTCTGCAGGCTGACCACATGGGGGCGCTGCTCAGGAGACAAGGGTGAGTATGAGATAGGATTAGATAAAAAGTGAGTGGAGTAAAGGGGTGTTTACAACCATATTCTAACTGTCTTGATATTTATTTAATTAATTAATGATGTAAATGTTCTTCCTCGCCTTAGATTTGAAGTTTACTTCTGCCCAACTCTTCCCGAAGACAGCGATGTGGCCAGCTTCCTCCATGCTCTTGGCATTGATTGGCCCACAGCTCAAGCTAACTGGACAAATGATGAGCGAGAGGAGAAGATCCAGAAAGCGCTAGAGAGCTCTCCTTACAGAGAGAGCGGAACGGAAAGAGGCAGGAGGACCAGCGGAGGAGGAGGTAGAAAGGCTGCAGAGGAGGAGGAGGAGAACGAAGGAGGGCTCAGGATTAATTTAAAACGGGTTTTCCAGGAGGAGGGACTGCTTGGATACGACCCCACTCTTGGCACCTGCAAAGGTAAGGCCTGGGATAGGGAAGATTTCTTCTCTGGTTATTCAAGACCTTCCGCTACTTTTTATGCTTAAAACCCTGTTATATTAATGAAGTTAGAAAACTGGATTCATTGTTGAAAACAAAATGAAATACACCTGTGCTGTTAGCAGAGAGGAAATTCTCTAATCTGTTTGTTGAGTTTGTTCACTTTTTCTGCTGATTTAAAAATTATATTTAGCCTTTATTCAACCAGGTTAGTCCCACTGAGATCTAAAATCTCTTTTGCAAGAGAGACCTGGCCAAGAGGACAGCAGCATATGTTAAAACACATAAAACACAAAACAAATCCAAAACATTAAAACTATGCCGAAACTCTAAATTAAAACATTTACACACAGACATAGATACAGACATTGCATTGATTTAAAAATGATTTTAAATACCTTCAGCATCACAAGGGCTTGAATGTGAAGTGTAGACTGTAATTCGTTCCAGTTAAGGGCTGCTGAAAACCTTAAGCTTTTCTTGCCCAGCTCTGGATCCGTCCTTTGGAGACAGCTAATTGTAGGACATCCATAGATTGGTGATTATAACTTCCTTGCTTTCTTGTTAAAATACTTGTCAAATACAATGGAAGAGCACAAATACTAGTTAAATAGATAAAGACATAACAGTGAGTGGGACATCTGGAACAGAGGGAGGGCCAGTTAACTTGATAGTAGAGATCTCAATTAGGGTTTAATGATTTAGCCAAAAACCTAAGTTGTGATTATTTTCAACCAACATTGTGATTGCAATTTTATTGCAATTTTCCTTTGCACTAAGCAAAAGTGTGTCGACATTTAACTCCAGGGTTTGACATTTTTCATGACCTTGAAAGCCAGCTTGTGCAGAGTCCAGTGTTGCAGGACTTTACTGTAAAATTTGCATTAAAATTTCTTTCTTCTACTATAATACATAGAGCTAGGTGCTAGCTGCAACTCTGTGTTCCCTTCTGTGCGACAGCATACTCACTTTAATCGTTTTACTGCCCCCTAAAGGGCTGCAGGGAGAAATGTAGTGTCATACTCTTGTATGTATTGTGACTAAAAATTGGGTGTCTCTGCGATTTTGAAAATTGCATTTTCATTTGCAGTTATATTGCAAATGCAATTAAGCAGATGACAGCTGGAAATAAATCTTAGTGCCCCATGGTACACATTATCAAGTCTGGTAAGATAGTGAGCATAATCATTTATGTACAATCCAATAACACGTACAAGCCAATAACAGATTCCCTTTTACACTAAAAATAAAAACAGCATTTATTTATGTAATACAATCCTAAAAGAAGTTTCAGTTTTCTTTTAGCAAGATAAGGAATGTGGTCCTTAAACGACAATAATTGTCAATTAAAATCCTCAATATTTAAAACTGGAAACCAACTCATTGGTTGACCTTTTCTTGTCAAAAGTTTTTCAGTCAGTGAGGATTTTGTGTTTTTCCTGAAGAAGTAAAAAACACTTGTAACTCATTTGAATAATAGCTCTATTTCAGTAGATTAAACAGTTTCGTTAGATGTTTCCTGTGCATTATGCATGCTAATAATTAGATCTGATATAGATGGGAAGGATAGTCTTCATCTCTGAGTCGACCAAACAAACACATCCTTAGCGGAGCAGACTGGCAAGTGTCTGCCAGAAACCCTGTCAGTGGAGCCGTTTCTGTAAACCTTCCTCCATCAGATTCGCTTCGTCTTTATTGGTGTTTAATGGCAGCATGTTTTCAGATTGGTAATAATAAAGAGGAAATAGTGAAATAAATACATTCGGTCATTCAGAAAAAAGGTAGCCTAGAACTACTTTAGCTTTGTTCAACATGATTGCTTTCTACTGATGCCCAATTGCTCAATTTTTTAAGTAAATTACACCTTCCCTGCTCCTTTTAGCAGCCAGAAGCTCCCAGTTAAATCTACTTTCATGATCTGATCATCTACTATGAAAACTATTGTACCTTTTCTCTTCTTTAGGAAGCCTAAAAAAAATCAGAGAACTCTAGCAATTAACTTAAAAAATACCAGTCGCTGTCACTGTGCAGATTAACTGCAAAAAGAGCCACTTTATCTAAACTTTGAGCAGAAATGATGAAGTTTTGTGTCACATCACCACTCGCTGATAGAAGGAAGTGGGTTTGTTGATGGCTGGGAAGGAGCAGGGGGGTCAGAGGGGGTGTTTCCTGGAGGGAGCGGAGCGAAATCCTCGCTCCGGCCTTTGAATTGAAAACTGCTCTGCGCTCCACCATGTTTCTTCCACTCTGCTCTGCTCACATGCTCTGGTGTGGGCCACTCACTTTTCCAAGACAGGGAGGATTACTCGGAGATGCATGAATCAGGCAATATGTCCCTTTGTGCATGACTCTGATAAAGGATTTGTAAAAGTATCTGAATGACTCTGGAACCATCTTATTTGAGCAGATGATCTTTACGTTGATATTTCTGCCAGAAATTTCCAGACCATGTTTTGGTCCGAAAAAAAAAAAAAAAAAAAAAGTAGAACACCCCTGCTGACTGTAAAGCATGGTGGTGGAAGGATGGTGATTTGGGGTTGATAGGTAGCAAAAGGATCCAAACATTTTGTCTCCTGGTTGAGAGTTTAGCATCTTGTACCATTCATTGGTAATAAAGTGTAATGAAGCTAATAAGGCATCTGCAAAATTCAATTTTTGCTTGTTTTCAAACAAGTGTAGGGAAATGGATATAATATGACAGTTGTCTGCAAACTGTCTTGTCAAAGAGTTCCTTATTTATTTTAATCTCTAGTTCACAGAGACAGTGTTTCCCACCTGGCTCAGCTTGATCTGTCCACAGCTGACATCACAGTAAGACAAACAAACACACCTTCATCGCACACAAACGCCACATGTTGCAGAACTCTTTGTTCTCACAGAAACTGTCCTTCCTGGCTCCTTTCTTTCTCCAGGAAACCATGGTAACAGTGCTACATGTGACTTCTTGTCAGGATGAGTTTCGCCAGCAGCAGATAGCGGTGCTCTGGAGAGCCAGTGGAGCGACGCACAGTCAGGTGACTACAATCATTGGCCCTCAAACACATCACAAAGCTCATCGTGATCCTTTTTTTTTTTTTAACCTGCTTTTGCTTGTTTCTGTGCCTGCAGAGACATCTTGTGTGTGGGCCTGTGAAGACCCCCGGTTCTCACCTCACTGCTGCACAGTATCTGCAGTAAGATGCATTACTGTCTTGATTTATTGAGTCTTTTTATTTTATAGCTCCTTTTATATCTTAAAAGCTTTTCTTCCAGGGAAGTGTTGTTACACCTATTAGTATCTAAAATACGGACAGCCCTTTCCGATTTGGTGCTCACACAAACCGAACAAATAAAACACGTTTTTTATCAGAACGCGTGCAGAAAACTGAGTAAGCACAGCATGTTCTGTTGCACAAATTAGAAAAGTGTCAACAAAACAACATAAAGAAAATATCAGTTTTCACCTTTTTTTAAAAATCAAAAATATACTTTTAGGAGTAGTTTTACTGCTCCCTACTTTTTTACTAACGATTGTTTTGCAAATGGATTAATCTGCCGATTATTTTTTTTGATTAATCGATTAGGGCTCTGTCACACCTTGCAGATTTAGACAGCGTACGCCTGATGTTCCAGAATGTGCCAGACTTTTCGTATATCAGGCATACGCTGGTCTAAATCGTCAAGGTGTGACAGGCGCTTTAATAATCAGATAGCAAAACTTTTCCACTTAAGGAGTTTTGGATACAACATATTGACAGACATAAATGTTTTTGTTATCTTAAATTAAAAATCTTAATGTTTTTTAAACAATCTTGGTATAATTACTGCTCTAAGTGGGTCACTTTGTCAGCTAAAGGCATGTTTTAGGGTCTCTATTCTCCAATTAACGATTAATCGGTTTCTAAATTAGTTGGCAATTATTTCAATAATCAATTAATTAGTTACAATCAATTCGATAAATTTTTTAAATAATAATAACAATAATTGAACTTTATTGATCTCACATTGGAGAAATGTACCTGATATGAGGAAGTAGTGTTACCCCAACTTGGGTAGTTTTTGGGCGCTCTACCCACTCAGCTCTATTTTGCTATTTGGAAACCTGCAGGATTTTAAACCACATTGGGGGAGAAATGGTGGATTGTTCCAGAACTCTGCATCTTTCCACTGCAAAGTGGGACACTGGCTCTGGGCTCTAACAAGGCTACTAGTCTGAAATGGCATTTTCTGTGCCTGCTTCTTTAATTGCTAAACCAAATCTCCAGCCGGTTCTTTGTCCCCTTAAAAAAATTGAGAACATAATGAAATCAAATTAATTTGAGAACCCAAATAACCAATTGTTTTATTGCTGATCAAAGTAAAGAAAATTTAGATTTGTATGTTTTTCTTGATTGAAGCATAACAAAAATCTACCAAACTTTGACTTTTGCACTAAATAAACCGTCATTTTGGGTTTGCCATCACACGCCTACTGTCCTTTCGTAGCTCCAGTATCTTGCTCTCCTTAACAGTGCTGTTTGTATTCACAGCTAACACCAATGGCTAAAAATGTCAATTTCTACACTAACTAAATGAAAGAAACATCAGAGATTGTTATGTTTTTATTCCATTAGTGTAGCAGTATTTTTTAAGTCCAGGGATTGGTGTTAATGCAGCTTTGTTTTCCCTCTGGTCCAGGCTTAGAAAAGGTCAGATGAAGGAGGCCTCCGAGATGAAGTATGGAGATAAAGTAGAGGGTGCGTATCGATTGAAAACTGTTGTGCTCTTTACATAAATTGCTTTAAAAAGTCTTCATGCCCCTTGAACTTTTCACATTTTGTTACATTACAAACACACTCCTCAATGCATTTAAACAGGTTTTTATGCAATAAGCCAGCGAAATTGGTGTAAAACTATGAAATGAAATTGAAAAAAATATGTTTTTCTAACTTTACAAGCTAAAATCAGAGCAATCTGAGTTGCATTGTTATTAAAAGCCCTCCATACTGTACCTCTACTTATAATTTCAGTAAAGAGGGGTAAAGGTTTTGTAAGGTACTTTAATTCGTCACCTCCTGCATTTGAATGCTTAAAAATAACCTAAATAATCTTATATATGTTGGAAATAAATGAAGCAAATCAATTGCTCTTTCAGGTCAGACCTGGGATGACATCATCAAGGTCATGACCTCTGCCACCATCCGATTCGAGTTGCTGTCAACTGTTCACACAAGTCCTGTGAGTTAAAACTCTGTCTTCACCTAAAGCTGTCCTCAAGGTGTACGAAGATAAATAGATTATTTGGCTCTTTATGAGAGTCAAACGTGTTTCTAAGTAGATCAGCTCCTTCAGGCTGCTGGGATATTCAAGAAGGTTTTCCAAGCAATTGTTTCCCGTCTGTGTTCAGGTGACGCTGGACGTCCAGAGGGAAGGAGGCGTGTCGACCAAAGGGCCAAGAGGAGGCGTGTTTGTGATGTATAACTGCGCACGACTGCACACCCTGTTCGACAGTTATGAGCGAGGAGTGGAGAAGGGTAAGTCACTTTTCAGCAAACCTGAAAACATTAACTCCTATAACTGTATCTGCTCTTCTAGCTTACAAATAACCTCAATTATCCTTTATTTATTTGCTATTATGCATTTACTTTCAACATTAAAAACTACCAGATGCTAAATGCTAAAAGAGCAATCCACTAAACACAGTTATATCAAAATAGTGAAAAATATATAAACATTTTGCATTCAAGGTGAAAAAACTTTTTTTCCATTAATATTTTCTATCCAGTAGTCCTCAAAGGGCGAAGCTTTAGCCTCACTTGGTTTAAATTCTTTTTAAAACCTTCTTTAAGGAACCTTTTGTCTTCTGATTTTTAATCGATTAATCAAAGAAAGAATCAACAGATTAATAAATTAGCACAATGGTTGTTAGTTGCACCCCAAAGCTGACCTTTTTAGAGCAAATATAAAATACGTGTATCCAAATGAGACTTTTGGTAGAAAACATTTGGACTTTGATATCTTGATTTTGGAGAACAAATTACTGTGGAATAGTTGCTCATTACTGTTGATCACAGTGTATGCTGCCATCAGTCACACATTAATGCAAACAAACATGATAAAAGAAGATGTAGCCATTATGTGGCGGACATTATTATATCTATATAAAAACAATGAATGTTGTTGCAGGGTAAATGCTTATAGTGTTTTTTTGACCCGCTGTAGGTTTGTACCCAGAAATCCCTGATGGCTCCAAGCTCGACTTCTCTGCTCTCAAAGAAGAGGTATCACTCAATGTGTCCTGATTTCTGTAGATTCTAAATTTTTTTAATTGTCTTATGTTTGTGCGAAGCTTAAAAAAAAACCTCCATGTTTATTTTTTCCTTAACAGGGTGAGTGGCTTTTGCTCTTCAATTACCTCATTCCTTTCTCTGAGCTGCTCGACCAATCAGGACAAGCGTTAGATTGTGAAGGGGGAGGGGCCAGAGTTAATATTAAAACAGAACAGGTATGTTTAACTAATCATTTTGGATCTCATTGTTTGATATCTAAAGTTTGTTGCAGGTTTAAATGTGAGTTCTTCCTTTGTTTCACTTCAGATCTGCAAGTTTCTGGTCTCGCTCAGTAAAGACTTTAGTTCGTACTACAACAGAGTCCATGTGCTTGGGGTAAGGACAAGTTCATGTCTTTGTGTATTCATAAATGACCCTGTCGGGTAAATCTACATGTGCTGAATATACTAAAGATGCATTTGAGTTTCTTTCTTTACAGTTAGCTAGAAAATTGTTTCCATGCTGTCTTAACTTTGTCACGTTTGGCCAAGTTGCATCCAAAAATCTAAATGGGTGAAATTTTATTTGATGGATCTCTCTTTTGCAAATAAACACATTTTCAAAGTATAAAGCAGAGGTTAGAAAATATGGGCCCTCTCTGAAAAGCAATATACAAGAGGATCTTCCACCTATACATGCTTGCTTTTAATTCATCCTCTCACCTCCATGTAAAATATGAAAAACTGCAAAACAGATTACCGCTACAACAAGGTAACAAGCAGCAGGTTAAGAATCTCAAGTTTACCTTTTAAGCATTCACTGCTTTATTTGTGCCCACACCATGATGCTACCATCACCATGCTTTCTGTTGGGCATTTAACACACATGATTAAGATTTAAAGTTTATTTTTATTCACGTCTTATTAGAGCACCTTTCTCCTCTCAGAACAAAGTGTCATTCTATTGTTTTTTTTTATGGGTTTTCTTTTTTTTTTTGCCCTTTTTGGGCATTTCACCGAACGGAATTTTGTGTCCCCTTTACTTTTGATGATCCTCTCCCTGGTTTTTGTTTTTTGTTCTGTCGCTAGTTGGTCTGGTCGCGTGGTTTTGGTGGTGTTTCCGGTTTGTCGGATTGGTTGTGGGCTTTGTGTGAGGCGCTGGAGGGTCTTGTGTGTCTGTGTTTGTGTGTTTTTGTCTGGGGTTTCCCCCCGGGGCGGTTGCGGAAGTTTTTTTTGGTTTGGGAGTTTTGGGCTTTTTTGTTTGGCTTGTTGCTTCTGCGCCCCGCCCCCTGTTAAGGGGGAGGGGGTTGGTTGGTTGGTTTTGGAAGGAACGAAAATACATTTTTCGTTCCATTTTAACATCTATGTAGGCAAAAGATTATAGTGAAACCAGTGGATGTTTGTTGATGCAGTGTGGTAAACTGGGACCAAAACTACATTTTGTGAAGCAAGATATCTTTATTTGTTGTATATTTTTTTTGTTTTTATGGCTCATTTCTATAAATGATGGCATTTTTTTTTATGTGTGCTTTCAATCCAACACGTCCCTCCCTGACTTTTTCCTCCTTGTTTCCAGGAACCGTTGCCTCACCTTTTCAACCAGATGTTCTGTCGTCTCCATCTTCTACAGGCCTTGAGGGAGCTCTACCACAGTGCTCTGGAGACCCTCAACCTGCCCCCCATCAGGCAACTATAGCCTCAACATAATCCCCTCATCCCTCCCTGTTAGCCTCACCCACCCTTTCCCTAAACTCTTGTCTGTTAGTTGTGTATCTAGCTGAGACACAGTGTTACAGATGATATAATATTTCTACACCGCTCCCTCCCAGTGTTGGTGGACATTCTGGAACTGAATATTTTATAAGATGCTTGTTAAATTAAAGATGGACAGTATTAAAGGGATAATTTGGGATTTTGTCTTGGACAATGGGTGTGGGCGTAGCAAAAGGTTCTGCCTTTAGGAAGCATCCCATTCATTTCATTCCAACCCCCCTGCTTCTCTTAAATTTCAAGGAAGTTGATTTTGCCAGACTCTTATGTCCTAATGAGAAACCGACCAATCAGAAATGTCAGTTTTCCTTCATCGCTTTACATCAGCACACCTAGAATCAGAACACTGACACAAGAACGGACCAAGCTGCAGTCAGTCATTTTGTTTTCATGTCCAAACCTGTTGTGCACAGCTCTCACACAGCAATCAATAACACATGGAACTGAAAAGCTCTGCTTTATTATTTGTGCCAAAATCATGGAGTAATATGAGTCTCCTAACCAATGGGCAGAAAGATGTAACTCAAAAATGTCTCAGTGTATGCTTTTTGACCAACACGGACTTTGATCAGAGAAGTTTTGTCTATTTTAGGATGGATTTGATCAAAGTGACGGGTTGATACCGGTGGAAGTTCTTATTTGCTTTAGAGAAGAAGTGAGAATCAGATTTGACAGCCTAACACTGGACTAACAAAACCTAACCTCCGGCAGTCAGCTGCGCCGTTTTCTTTTTGTAAACCTGCAGTATATAAAAAGTTTTTGTTTGTATTTTGTCTGACATTATTGATTTTTCAGGTGTTGCCATGATGCCAATAAAACAAAAACCGTAGCTTTTCTGAAATGCCAAGTCAGACCTACACCCGCCTTTAAATGATTTCAGTTAAATGAATCAGATTTTAAATACAGGGTGATTCAGCATAAAGAGCACTCTGCATTTACTCAGTGCATCTAATCGTGCCAGTTCTATAAAAAGCCTTAAAATTAATATTTTATGGTATACTGTAGGGTAAGCTGTGAGTTCCTGCATGTATAGGTAGCACCATCTGAGGATGAGGCCCTTTTCTCTTTTACACAAGGTAAGAAAAAGAAGCAAGTTTTAATGCAAGTTGATCTTCGTGTGAGGACATGCAGTCTTATCATCAGTCAAAGGCAGTGATTTGAAGGGTTAAAACAGTTGGAACTAAAAACCAACATGCTAGACCAGGGCTAAGTTTATCTTACCTCCAGAACACAATGGGGTGAACCATGAGGAAGGTTTCCTGGACCTTCAAATCTGAGTCAAAAACTAAAGTCATGGTAACACTAACACAGGAGATGATAATTGTCTAAGAGTTAACGGGAAAAGAAAACAAATCGACATTAACTTCTCTTCTCCAGAACTAAAACATTTCTTCTACTGGTTGAAACATTAATTGCTCTCTGCCTCTTCACATCACCTCCCCACTGCTCTATGCCCAACGGAGGTTTGCGGTTCATTCATGTTTACTACTGTGTATTCGTTCCTGACACTGAAATATTTATTGTCGCTTTAAAAAAAAAAGAATAGCTATGTGTTGGTTGTGTATGTTATGCACACACGTCTTAATCAAGTTGTGTTTATGCAGTGAACCCTTCATCAGATCCAATTTATTCCAGTGGACAAATCACAGCTGTTAGTATTATACTGTAGAGTTTTAAGCAAAAGCCTTAGAAGATATTAGGTCTTTGTGCCACAAAGTTGAAAAGAACATATAAACTAGCATGAAATTTAAACATTAAAATCCTATTTATAGAATTGTGAAGGGAAGCTGTGATTGTTAATGTTTCCTTCATTTATTGTCTTAATGTTCCACCAATTATTTCATTGTCTGCTCGATGGTTTTAAACATATGTTCAGTTGGTGTACTGTAAACAAATCTAAAAAGTATCAAAAACTTTTCAAAGCATGACTGTTTGATTCTATGTATTGAACGTCTATATTTTATGGACCTCTTTTGCTTAAAGATTGAAGATCCTATTTATGCCCCTGTAATTGCAACAGTATTAAAGCAGAGGATATGCATAAATAAAGACTTTCTCTGTTTTCCTTTCTCATTTTGCATTGACATCTGACATTAAACTGTCATTGGTTCCCCCTGTAGGCAAATAATACGTAAATGCTCCAAAATGTTTTTGAGGTTTTTTTTGTTGTCTTTGCTAGAACAAGTCATTACAATTATAAACTAACATAATTAAGTTTTTTCTGTTCTAAGCAACTAAATGGGAATATGTTTTCCTTATAGTTTAAAACTAGTTGCTTTATTATAGTATGCCAACCACTGAATAGAGTCACCTGAGGGTTTTCACCTTTTTTAACCTCAGATTAAAATGGCCGCAAAAAAAGGCTTTAAAAGATGTTTTCTTTGTTAAGGCTACTGTTTTCTATTTTGCGATTACTGGTAATTTACTATTTATTTACATTAACTGCCTATGTCGGTAGGCACACTGGAAAAACGATATGGAAATAAGTAAAAAGTTCTTAAATGAAGTGTATTTACCCTTAATTTCAGTAGGAAAATGAGATGATTTGCCAATGGAGTTAGTATTTTTACTCTTAAAATTAGATATTTAAATAAAATGCACTTGAAGTAAGACAATGCAATTTTGTTTTCTTATTATAAGTGTAAATTGTCTTGTTCAATTGGCAAAATGTCTCTTTTACCTTCACAATTCAAGAACAAATTCACTTATTTTAAGAAAAAATGACTTATCTAGATTTTGATTTTTTCCAATGCAGCTCTTTTGTTTCCTACTCTTTTTCTATTGGATGAACCATGGCCAGACACACCTAAATTAATCAGTTCATCCAGTTCAACACAGGTAACAAAAGAGAACTTAAAGGTAGGTAAGATAATTCTTTGGTGGAAGATATGTCCAACGGCTGTTTGTGTATTTTTGAATCAAAATTGAAGGCCCCTAATGGTAGAGAAATGATGGTTAGGTATAAAATTCCACATAGATGTTGGGTTATATGGAAATTGCTTTATTCAATTAATTTATAAAGTATTATTTAAGGTATTAAAGTCAAGGAAATGTAGCCCACCAGTTCTTTTTTTTTCTTTTTTTTTTTTTTCTAAGAGTTCATAATGAGAGATTTATACATGTAATGAGTTTTATTTTTCCATATAATGCTAAAGAGTAAGTTGTCTATGGTAGAACATGTTTGTTTATCAACAGACAAAGGGATAGCTGCATATGTAAGACGAGACAATCCTGCTTTAATCAATAATATTGATTATTTGTATCTTATGATTGTATATTGCACTTTGGTCCAATTGGGTGTTGAAAGTGCTTTATAAATAAATATTCTAGGAAATAATATCCGTCCTTTAAGTTATAAATCTCTCTGAAGCCATTCATTGAATCTATTTTAGATCCTTTAATGATCAGGTTAAGGTTTTCTGAACACCTATCTTTCTAATTTTTTATTATAATTCAAAGATATGTTTTTTTTTTAATAGGAATTCTATAAAACAGTGTTATTGCAATCCTTAAAAGGAAAAAACTCAATTTTTTAAAGTTTAATCAGCGTCCAGAAGCTGCCAAGAACACATCTATTGAATTGATAGCAATGGGGACTTAAGAAATATATTCTTTTAAATAAAGTGGTATCATTTGCCAGTTGACTGATATCATATCTTTAAGTGGGCTATCTTTTATATGAGTGGGTAAGAGTACATAAGATGCAATTAATGGGAGATGGGGCAACCCTGTTGGATTCCCCATTATAAATCAAATAATTTTTTATTTTATCAACCGGTGACATTTAGAATAGTTTTTATAGCTTCGTTATAAAAGGAAAAAACTAAAATGTTCCAGGATATTAGACATGAAGGAAGGAGTAAATCCATTAAACCTAATGCATGTCAAATATTATTGAAGATCTGTTCACCTCTAATAAATCCTGATTGTGTCTCATCAATAAGAGGATCCAAAATGTTTTTGAGTTGTTGGAAGCAAAAATGTTGTCAGTGTTTAACTCTTGCTCCCTGGGCGCCACACAATGACAGCCCAGTGCTTCCCAAGGGGATGGATTAAATGCAGAGGTAAATTTCTCCAATGTGAGATCAATAAAGATCAATTATATGGCCCTGTGACACTGCTGTAGGTAAGGGTTCTTGTTTTATACTCTCAAAAAACACCTTAAGTTAAAAGAAGGTAAATCTTCTAAAAAGGTCTGCTAAAAATCTTAAGATAGTTTTTCAACTCCAGGAGATTTATTCTTTTCCAGATGTTCAAATGACTTCCTATAGGGATATTAAACTATCCAAATTCTCTTTGTCAACTTTGGTAATGCGATTGACATTATCACTCAGAGAGTTAAAAAATAGAGACATAGATTCCGGACAGTAGTGAGATTTATAAAGATTGCTGTAAAAGCTGGAGAAGAAACAGCATACCTCAAAAATACATATTTTTGAGGGATCATCACTTAGCTCAAAATTAACATTGAGAAGTTGGATTAAGCCGAGTTTCCCATGATGTTTTCTAAATAGGCTGAATTATGTTCTTCAGCTTCAATCCACTTTTTCCTAGATCTTAAAAAAGCACTTTTAGATCTATGTAAAATGATTTAATCTAGTTTAACCTGCTCTGCTTTCAAATCTAAACGTTCCTTTTCAGTCATCAAACCAGGGTTCTTCAGCGATAAAGCTACTATATAACTATATTCTCTTCCTCCCATCTCTAAGTTTTGAAGAAATTACTAATACAGCTTATCAAATGTTGCACAGATTTAAATTTCAAAAAGTCACAGTTGCTACCAAGTTGTTTATAGAGCAGAGTCTGTTGTATACTTCTGAATTTAACCTCTTAATACCTGATTTTGCCGCCTAATTATTCAGTAAAGAGGAATTAAGCTTCCAATACTGTTTCTACAAGCCTCAGTAAATGTGGACTGTAAAGGGATTAATAAAGACTGTTCACTTTGGTCAGATAAAGGTGTTGTAATAATATTAGTTGATTTTATCAAGATTCAGATTACTAGAGATTAAACAAAAGTCTAATTGAGAGTTCTTAGTGGCATTTCTGTTACTCCAAGTATAGAAAATGGTACTATGATAATGTTACCGGCACACATTGATTAAGTTACATTATTGCAGTTTCAGGTTATTATTAACGGCTGTAGATTGGCTTTGAGGCCAGCTGTCCAGAATAGGATCAAGAACCATATTAAAATATGGGAATGTTATCTAAGGCCTTTTTAATATAGCCTAACTGTGACCCTTATCTCAAACCTGACTATTACAGGTACATACCTAACCCTAACCAAAACTCATTTTACACCTTAGTCCTGTACCTAACACCTAAGCCTAAACAGAAATTCTCTTTATTTTCATTTTTTAACTTTTTTTGGGGTTTTAAAGTTGAATTTTTCATTTATTCCATTAAATAACAGAAAAATATTTGTGAAATCCCAATACAGCTTAGAACATATTTTACCAATGAATATATTTATTTAAAATGTTTTTATGTTTTCACCATTACAGTGATTTTGTTGTGATATAAATTTGCTATAAAAAAATCACAGTCTCTTTATGTAACTTAGATGTCATTTTAAAATACAGAAACAATCTATATGACAAACAGTAAAGTTCTTCTTAATATTTCTTATAGTGTGCACTGAGCCCCTTGGAGCTTTGCAAGGTGTATTACCTCATAATATACATAATAACAAGCCCCCTTTAAAAATCTAAGGACACACAGGTGTTCAAATAAAAAACGTTACAAAGCTGTTAATGTGAATAACTCCAAGAAGAAATGAATGCCTTCTAATAGCTTACATCACTAATGATTCTGTCAGTTCCAGGTGACACAGCTCATTAGATCCAACCCACAATGTTGCTGCTTTCACCTCCAATTATTTAGAAAAACTTGAGTATTACCAAAGCAAGTCAGAAAAATCAACCCCTGACCAACCAGCCAATATCTGTGGTCCTGACAGCTAAACATTCATCTTTCATGTGATTATGTACAGCATAAATTATTTTGCAAACCCTCAGTTTATGTGCATCTAAATATAGAGGCAGCAGCTTAGGTCTCCGGCTTGTTTTCACTGCTCTCATCTGTGTTGTTATCGTCCAACAAATGCACACATCCAAACACACACTGTTTTCTGGCAGAAGCAGCTGGGAATAGGTAGGTTTAAGTCCCAAAGGGACTGTGTTCAGGGACATCGCATATGTGTGTGTTGGCTGTTCTCATTTAGGGAATTATCTGGGAGCAAATATATGAACAAGTTCTGTTCCAGCATTACTCACCAAGAGTTTCTGGATATTTTTAGCAGCAGTGATTAATTAAAGCATATTAATAGCTATAGGTTTTTACAGGTTTTTAAGCAAAGCATAAAACCAAAAGCATAAAACCAAAAGCAAAAAAAAGACACAACATCATACGAGGGTGGATGGATTTTACTGTGTTTATTTCACCTTGAATGAAATAAGACAGACTAGACAGACTAGGAGGACAGGGTTAGACTGACTGACTGACTGACTGACTGAAAAGCAAGAGAATATATGATGTAATTTCATGTCATGGATCGTTCCCACCACATGGTGGCAATATTGATATTTATATATATGTATGTGTGGTATGGGTGGACATGACTAAACTTCCCGAGGCACTGGAAAAAAAACTGAAATAAAATAAAAAAATAAAATAGCATCCAGTTAAAGGCAGAAAGATGATGTATGATGATCGGGGGTTGATTTGTTAAGGTTAGATTTTGCTGTAAAAACAAGACAAGAAACATTTTATTACAAGATACAGTCACTGTATTTCAGTAATCAGTAGGTCCTTCTGGATGTTGGTGAAAAATGAATCTGAAAATGAAAATAAACGTTTTTTCCTCAGTTTAGTTACTTCAACAATATTGCTTATCTTAACAGATGCATTTGTCTCAATCAGATTTAGTTTTCAGGATCTCATCCTTTCATCACCTTTAAAAATGTTTGATTTTACCTGGAAACACTTTTTCAACATTTGCATTCAGCTCTGCATATTTTCACTTCAACCT